TACTAAGGGCCCCTTAGTAAGGGGTATAAAATTTTCCATTGAAATAGAAAATGCAAGCTACAATGAAACATTAAGGTAAAAGTTTATATAGTACACTGTACTAAAAACTTTAAGTACAGTATAACACTAACCAATGCACGCGTATATACTGTAAATCTAATAAAATAGATTATTGCAAATATTTGCAAATATGTTTTACTAAACACTTCAGACATGAAACTCTAGAAAACTTAACCATAAAATATTAACTAATTTTTACAAATAAATAAATAATAATATTGTGCGTATGTTTGTGCTTAATTGAGCAAGCAATTGATCCCACCACCTACTAATGCCAACTTGGTAACATGACACAATTAACATTATACCTGGTCCTATTGGCCAGCGTACCAGCACTGGGCCAGAAAATACAAGACACCGGTCACATTGACTACTTTGAAATGGCAACAAAACCAACCACTACTCCAACTCCCGCACTGCCCCTATCGGTCAACGGGTCGACAATCGTGTTAACAACTAATGGCTCGGCATTCTTGGTCAGCACAAACGGCACTCTCTCAGCCTTATTAACTACCATCACCAACACCACCAGTCCAGTCACCCCCTCCACCACAACACACGCCCCACCGCCACAACCGCCCATAAAACCCGTGGTATATAACCGGTGCGACAACGCGCACTGCACAGCACCCGTACCCTCCAAACTGAACGTACATCTCGTCCCCCACACCCACGACGACGTGGGTTGGCTCAAGACTGTGGACCAGTATTACTACGGCTCCCAATCCCAACACCAGAAGGCGGGCGTACAGTATATCATCGACTCGATGGTACAATCGTTGCTCCGGGCAGAGCACCGGCGGTTCATCTACGTTGAGACGGCATTCTTCTGGAAGTGGTGGCGCGAACAGGACGAAGAGCACCGGGAACAGGTTCGCACTCTGGTCAACGGGGGTCGACTCGAGTTTATTAGCGGCGGTTGGGTTATGCACGACGAGGCCATCACCCACTATCAAGCTATTATCGATCAGATGACCTGGGGCCATCGACGCCTACAGGACATGATTGGCCAGTGTGTTGTGCCCCGCATTGGGTGGCAGATCGACCCGTTTGGCCACAGCCGAGAATCGGCGCACTTGTCGGCTATGTTTGGCTTTGATGGTCTGTTTTTCGCCCGATTAGACTATGAGGACCAAAAGCTCCGGTCGGCTGAAAAACGCATGGAGTTTATATGGGAGGGTTCGGATGATATTGGTAGAAGTGCCGATATATGGACGCACGCCATGGCCGGCTCGTTGTACGGCCCGCCGACTGGCTTCAACTGGGATGTGCCCGAAGGCGGCGATGAGCCCATTATCGACGACCCGGAGTGCGAAGACTATAATGTGGACAAAATTGTGGACAAGTTTTTGAATTACATTCGTCCATATTCAAACAATTATGCCACTAATCATCTGCTTATTCCTATGGGTATGGACTTTAATTTTCAGGTATAGCACAGCAGATGATATGACAGCCACAGTCTACTACATATTTAGCTAATAGATTTTTAACCTTGATCTAATTGAAAAGTTACTCTATCAATAACCATTATTAATACGGTAATTGTTTAGTCTATCTAACACCTATCTCTGTCCATTTTATACAGTCGGCCGGCGCCTGGTTCACGAACATGGACAAACTGATCCGGTACACCAACGCCCGGCAACGTAACGGCTCCAATATAAACGTATTCTACTCTACCCCCACTTGTTATCTGGCGGCTGTCCATCAGTCCAACAACACTCTCACCACTAAATCCGACGACTTTTTCCCATACGCTTCGGACGGCGTAACCTATTGGACGGGTTATTTCACTTCTCGACCGGCGCTCAAACGGTACGAAAGGGTTGGCAACAATTTTTTACAGGTATGCAAACAGTTGGACGTATTGGCCGGTANTAATCTCTGAATTTAGTGTCAAAACCTTAAGAATATTTCAGTGAATTGTCTGTCCGTTAATCGCATTGTTATTCAAATGATGTCTTAATATTATAAATAAGTATAATATGCGCCACAAAAGGCACAGACAGTTGGGGATAGCGTTGAGCACTGGTATGCTATTGTGTAGAGCAGTGGGAGGGGTAGAGGGGGTGGAAATATATTTGATTTTATATTTAAATTAAGTCTAAATATATTCTACATTATATTTTGTATATTAATATGTGAATGATTTAAAGTGTTGTGAAATAAAAAATTATTAATGATTTTTATGTTTTAAGACATTTGCTCACTCTATGTATTTTGGACTTTAATAGTGTACAATACTTTACTTTCTATGTAATATTTAGTATGTGTTTAACTGAAAAATTGGTTAATTTTATAATAAAAGCATTATTGTATCAGAATTTTTATTATTTATAGATTTAGAAATAGAATTTATTTTAAAATTTACAATAATGCTTTTATGAAATTATCAATTTATGATAAATTTATTGCCAAACTATGATTTTATATAAAATTTTAAGTCAATAAAAACCCTTTTAACCATTGAATTTTACAACAACTCAATAAAAATCCGATTATTTATCATTTATGGTTATTTTTGGTGGAATTTTAATATAATCCATGCTTTTATGACAAAATTATTTTAAAATATTTTTTAAATATCAACTCCATTATAAAAGTTAAAAAAATAAATAAATACACTGGATAAATAAATATTTTTAAAATATGTAAAAATATTATACATAAATTGAAATCAAAATTATCTATAAATACAAACATTATTAAATTTATTTACAATAAATAAATATAAAAAACAATTCGCTGATGTACAATAATATTTATAACATAAAATAAACTTGATAATTTCCCATATAACCTTCATCAAATTTACACTACCTAGGCTTAGTTCTAACAATAAACGTGCGAATTTCCATCGGGTTAATAATGACCGATAGATCCGTAGTGTTTAGCTCATTGCGTTTGGGCTCAAACCTGTGAGTCTGGTTGAGAGTCTGAGACAAGCGGTTATTGGGATTAGTTTCCCAGAATCGGAGCCGCCGTACGGCCAGAATATTCTCGGTTGCGCTCAAAGTGGTCTCCAACACGTCGTACACCACAAACTTGCGGAACAGATCCCGGAGCTCAACCCTCACCGGCGTTGACCACTCGCGCGACTCATTCCACTGATAAAAGTGCTCCAACCGTAACAATAAGGTCCGATTCGGCCATTGCTCCAGTGTTAGCAAATGTATATTACGGGGCAGTGGGTTATACAGTGCCGTATAGTTAGTCCGGTGCTCTTTATGATAGGTAGCAGGCTCTTTATCCAACCTGCTAAACGTTACCACCGGCTCCATCATTAGTCTATTGGCGGCCTCCCGGTGCAGTTCAGTCGCTGAGGCAAGTGTTGCCAATTGTAGCCAAAAGCGACCCCTTATAACCAGACCATTGCCATCAACACCCGGTTCGTTGAGGGGCTCTTTGACACCCATCCCATCGTCGTTTAGTATACGCCGGTGAACCATCAACTCGATCTGTCCCTCTCTAAACCCGGTGCCTCCCTGTGCCCTATCATTTAACATGGTTAATTGCAAGCCGGCCTTCTCATCCCTGATGGCTATCCAATTGGTCACCGGATAGTAGTTACCCGACACCGGCTGAGTGATTGTCAGGTTATATGTGGGCCGATAGTCGCGGCGCCGACGCATCGTTTGTCGTCCATTACTATCGGTGTAAAACACGCCACCAGTGGTCAGGTTTGTCTGCCACCGGAACACAACCTCTTTGCCCCACATGTCGGCCACCGATATGGGTCCGCACGTGTAGTCAAACCCGATGGCATCGCTCCGGTGGTCTATACGTATCACTTGTGACAAGTCATGTTTGATATCGTGATGCACTTCGGTGAGCACAGGGCTCTCCACCACTCGCGCCCTGAAGTTGCCGTCCGAGGGGTGGATCACATCGGCCTCGTCCCGGTCGGGTCGGAACACGTAAGCCCCGGACGCCCGGTATGGCCCATAATTGTTGCCCCCGAACGACCGGTAGTAAGCAAACTCCTGACGCAATGACACCGTCCGACCCGAGTCACGGAACTGCAGCGCCTGTAGCCGTCCGTAACTATCGAAAAATACGTTAAATCCGGGGGTTTGCACCAAAAAGTCACGGTCCACTTTACGCACTACCGGTGCTCTTAGGGAATCACCTGTGTCTTGACGGTTTAGTATATAAGTGGCAAACCCAAGTGCCGGTACCGACGCTTCAAACACTAGTTCCTCTACCGCTTCGCTGACCCTCTCTTTGAGCCGCAATACGGGCGCCGGTATGGGAAACACATAGGTCTGGTTGACGGGCGCTCCGGTCGGGTCCAGCACTTGTACCGACCGATTGGTTATCGGCAGTCGCAAGATGTGCCGCACCGGCTGTCCGTACGGGTTATACACCGTAACGGCTAGCGATGTGTTCAACGACTCGGTCCACTCACAGGCGCTCACATTTAATTGTTTGCAAAATAGCTGCTCCGGTAGGGACTGAGCAGTCCGGTTGGCTATTGACTTCGTAGCCAATTTGGTAACAGCCCTGTCCACCACCCGTTCGCATCCGGCGATACTCTTGGCCAGTTTGAGGGCGTAATTATTGGCCACGTGCTGTTTTTCGGTGCCCGTAATAGCATCATGGTGTTGCATAACAGCCTGCCATTCGCGTAATGCGGTCACCTCCTTATCGTACGCGCCTCCCATACCGGCCAATACGTCCAACTGTTTGCATACCTGTAAAAAATTGTTGCCAACCCTTTCGTACCGTTTGAGCGCCGGTCGAGAAGTGAAATAACCCGTCCAATAGGTTACGCCGTCCGAAGCGTATGGAAAAAAGTCGTCGGATTTAGTGGTGAGAGTGTTGTTGGACTGATGGACAGCCGCCAGATAACAAGTAGGGGTCGAGTAAAACACGTTTATATTGGATCCGTTACGTTGCCGGGCGTTGGTGTACCGGATCAGTTTGTCCATGTTCGTGAACCAGGCGCCGGCCGACTGTATAAAATCGACAGAGATAGGTGTTAGATATATACAATTACCGTATTAATAATAGTTATTAATAGAGCAGCTTTTCAATAAGAGCAACGTTAAAAATATATTAGCTAAATATGTAGAGTATGGCACCGGTAGGCATCTGCGCTATACCTGAAAATTAAAGTCCATACCCATAGGAATAAGCAGATGATTAGTGGCATAATTGTTTGAATACGGGAGAATGTAATTCAAAAACTTGTCCACAATTTTGTCCACATTATAGTCTTCGCACTCCGGGTCATCGATAATAGGCTCATCGCCGCCTTCGGGCACATCCCAGTTAAAGCCAGTCGGCGGGCCGTACAGCGAGCCGGCCATGGCGTGGGTCCATATATCGGCACTCTTACCGATATCATCCGAACCCTCCCATATAAACTCCATACGCTTTTCAGCCGACCGGAGCTTTTGGTCCTCATAGTCTAATCGGGCGAAAAACAGGCCGTCAAAGCCAAACATAGCCGACAAGTGCGCCGATTCTCGGCTGTGGCCGAACGGGTCGATCTGCCACCCAATGCGGGGCACAACACACTGGCCAATCATGTCCTGTAGGCGTCGATGGCCCCAGGTCATCTGGTCGATAATACCCTGATAATGGGTAATGGCCTCGTCGTGCATCACCCAACCTCCGCTAATAAACTCGAGTCGACCCCCGTTGACCAGAGTGCGAACTTGTTCCCGGTGCTCTTCGTCCTGTTCGCGCCACCACTTCCAGAAGAATGCCGTCTCAACGTAGATGAACCGCCGGTGCTCTGCCCGGAGCAACGACTGTACCATCGAGTCGATGATATACTGTACGCCCGCCTTCTGGTGTTGGGATTGGGAGCCGTAGTAATACTGGTCCACAGTCTTGAGCCAACCCACGTCGTCGTGGGTGTGGGGCACGAGATGTACGTTCAGTTTGGAGGGCACGGGTGCTGTGCAGTGCGCATTGTCGCACCGGTTGTATACAACAGGTTTTATGGGCGGTTGTGGCGGTGGGGCGGGCGTTGTGGTGGAGGGGGTGCCTGGGCTGGTAGTGTTGGTGATGGTAGTTAATAAGGCTGAGAGAGTGCCGTTTGTGCTGACCAAGAATGCCGAGCCATTAGTTGTTAACACTATTGTCGACCCGTTGACCGATAGGGGCAGTGCGGGGGTGGGAGTAGTGGTTGGTTTTGTTGCCATTTCAAAGTAGTCAATGTGACCGGTGTCTCGTATTTTCTGGCCCAGTGCTGGTACGCTGGCCAATAGGACCAGGTATAATGTTAATTGCGTCATGTTACCAAGTTAGCATTAGTAGGTGGTGGGATCAATTGTTTGATCAATTAAGCACAAACATACGCACAATATTATTATTTATTTATTTGTAAAAATTAGTTAATATTTTATGGTTAAGTTTTCTAGAGTTTCATGTCTGAAGTGTTTAGTAAAACATATTTGCAAATATTTGCAATAATCTATTTTATTTAGGGTTGTTACTTTACCGGTAAAATTCAATTCAATCTTACATTACCAGTAATATTCGGTAATTTACGGTAATATTTGGTAAAATTGGTAATTTTTCACAAATTAATTGAATCAATGTTCAGTTCTTTATGGAATATTAATTATATACCTAATTATGATAGTTATCACTTGTAATATAATTTAAATCTACAGAATTTCTATCAGAATCACAATTAAGTTCTGAATTTTTATAGTTTTTGAAACAAAAATATCAAATAAAAACAATTTTGCAAGTTATTTATTATTAATAAAGTCATTATTTTCTCTCATTTATATCAATTTTAATTATAAATGTAGTAATAATTAATTTTCAAAATTAAAGTTTTTTAAGTTATTCAATTATTGGCATTTTGTACATGACTAATATCAAAAGTTCTTTATATTTTGACAAGTCACATGTTTGAATGTTGTAATTTACATG